ATGGGGGAGAGCCCTCCCACACCACTGCCTTTGCTCTGTTGGAGTTTCAGGTCAGTCTGAGGATTACCTGAGCACCTACTGTGTGTGGCCTGGCAGACTGGACACTTCTGGAGGGCAGGGCCTAGGTAGGCCTCAGACATCTCAGTGTTCCAGTGCCCGGCACAGGGCCTGGCACACAGTGACGCTTGCTGTTCACTGGCTGCCCCTCTAGGTCCCAAAGGGAGAGCCTGGCAGGCCCAGGCAGGGTGGGGAGGGGCTGAGAAGGACCCCCCCAGCTGCTGCTGCCTGAGCCCGAGCCTCTCAGCTGGGCGCCCACCTGAGTGTGGAAGCTTCTGGCTCAGAGTCTCAGGCAGGGATGAGGAGATCCCAGGCATGGTTCCCTCCTCACCTCTCTTCTCCCACTGGAAGGCCTCTGGAGGGAATTCTAGAAAGGGGACAGGGCTTGAGGACTGCCTCCGTGGAGGGAGACACCAGAGTCCATTGACCTGGCTTCTTTTTTGTTTTAAAGCTTGGCACCTGAGCTAACTGTTGCCAATCTTTTCTTTTTTCTTTTTTTGCTTTTTCTCCCCAAGTCCCACTAGTACATAGTTGTATATTTTAGTTGTGGGTCCTTCTAGTTGTGGCATGTGGGAGGCCACCTCAACATGGCCTGGTGAGCAGTGCCACATCCGTGCCCAGGATCTGAACTGATGAAACCCTGGGCCTCTGAAGTGGAGCATGCAAACTTAACCACTCGGCCACGGGGCCAGCCCCCGACCTGGCTTCTTAAAATGTGGGGCTGGGGTGTGCAATGTCTGGGTTCTAGTTTTGGCCTCTCCACTCTCCTCGCTGGCCAGATCCCAGAACTTCGTAGTGACTCAGTTTCCCCTGTCTCTGCCAAGGGCACAGCCTACTGTGTGCAGAACTAGGAAACTGAAGACTCCCAAGCCAGCAGTTTGACACCAGGTGCCACCGTCCTGGCATCTAGGAAATTTCAAGGCTACCTGGTGTCTCCACCCTGTTCCAGCCATGCCTCCAGCCCAGGCCACACTGGGCCTGGGCTTGTCCACTTCCCCACTGTACTGAAGGTTCCTGAGGGCAAGGCCTGGCTTCTACCTCTGTCGCTCCTAGGCTTGCCCAGGCCCGAGCCCCAGCTCCTGGCTGGGGAGAGGTTAGTCCACGTGGGCTGTAGCAGCAGCTGCTGTAGAGACAGCTGGAGCCATATAATCAGGCCCCCCGGGCTCTGGGCCTCTGACCTGGGCCCAGGAGCCTCCACAGGAAAGGCCCTGGGCACTTCCCTGGCCTGGATGGAACAGCTGGGCCTCTTGCCGGGGGAGGGGTATGTTGTAGGGTATATTTAAGCTCAAGCACACTGGGTGTCGGATCTTAAAAGGTTGGAAGCCCCAAAAGTTGGGTCATAGGCTGTTCTTTCGAAGGATGTTGTAATCAGAGACTTTTGGACTCAGAAGTTCCAACCAGTGCAGGTTGAGATGGTAGTTTTAGACCTGCAGATGTAGAAGGGGGACCTCAGAGGTCACCAGCCAACCCCTTCTCCAATCACAGGACTTTTTTGTACTGCATTGCAAGGGCCTGGTGACTAGGCTGGGTCTCCTCCCGCAGAGGGCCGGGTCCTGTCTGGCTCATGCTGAATCTTCTGGGGCCAGCCACAGGAGCTGAGTAACCACGGCGCACTTGAACTCCAGGTGAAGACATTGTATCGGGGGACACTTATTTCCAACCCCAAAGACAGCAGGAACAGAGCTTCAGGGCATGGATGGAGCCGCTAGCTGCACTCAGCCTCTCACTAGCTGGGTGACCTTGGGTGAGGTGGTCGCCTCCCTGAGGCTCTGTGTCCCTGGTAAGGTGAGAATCGTTATAACGCATCTGCCTGACAGGTTGTGGGGATTCAATGAGTCAGTATGTAAAATGCTTAGAGCAGCGCTGGCCCTGTGCCTTACTCTGCAGGCTGCAAAGTCAGGAATGGGAAGACCCTTTACTCCTGTTCCTGCCTCAGTTGCCCCCTGAATGTGTCCTACTGCCTTGGGACAAGGGCACATGTTGTCATGTATGGCAGCACATCCTCTGGTGAGGTCATCGTTGTCCCCACTTTACAGGGAGCAGAGCTCCTGCCGGAGGCCCCTAGCTGTTAAGTGGTAGAGGCTGTTAGACAGCCAATCTGACAGGCTCCAAAGCCCCCACGTGCCCCGTGCTGGGCCGGACTCAGCCCGGAGACTCCAGAAATGCCCGTCCTGCCCCTCCTTCATCCCTGTGGCTGCTTCCAGGGGCCCAGAGGCCTCAGTTCAGATTGTCTGTGAAGATCTGTGACAGTCTGGGCCGTGTCTGCTAGTCAAGCTCGAGCAGGACATGGGTAGGGAGGCCTGTGGCCGGGCGCTGAGGTGGTGGTAGCCCGGTCAGCTCTGGGGCCGCAGACTGAGCAAATACATCCCACTTTAGACACTTGGACAAATTGCTTATTTGTGGACATATTGGTGCTGCCCTCCTGGTGGTGGCTTCTGCCCAGAGCAGCTGGGTATGTGGTGTGACTTGTGGGGCTCTGAAAACGTCCTCACCTCCTCCTTAAGCCAAAAAGGAAACCCTGGGGTGGGGCTGAGGCACAAGGACTCCACCACAATCGTGATGGCCTGGAGAGCATGTACTCTTGACCCTGGCCCCAGGGGAGCGGCAGCTGACAGAGGGCTGGGGAAGAGGGCTCCAGAGGCTGGGGCAATATGGTGCCATAGTGGACATGGCACAGGACTACTCCTAAGACTCGGGCCCTGATGTGTGCCCTCAGGCACTTTAGGAGCTTCCCAGCCTCAGTTTCCCATCTTTGCAGGGCAGTTGTGAGGATGAAGGGAGAGGTCCAGGGCTGGCACTGCGCCCTGGCCAGGCGGCCCATGGAGACTGGGAGCAGGCCATTAAGAAAACAGCGCAGAGAGGCCCCCCAGGCGAGCAGTGGCCTCTCCCTTTCTTGGCTGCTGTGAACAGACAAGCACAGTGTGCTGTAGTTGCTAAAAGAAAAAAAAAAAGAGCTGCTGCCTCCAGCTGCACAAATGGAAGTGGAAGTGCGGCTCCACGGTCTGGGAAGTCCCCCTGGTCCTGGGGTGGGACTTCCCCATGCAGCCCATTCCGGCCGGAGGACTCGAGGCTGCGGCTCTCCTGTGCAGTGGTCCGGAGCTGTCAGAAGTGACACACAGTATCTGGGGGATGACTCGTTTGGGGAGTGGAGGCCCAGGGTCCCCTCCTCTGGTGAGACCCCCACCCCAGCCCCTCAGACAGACGCAGGGGCCCCTGTGGCACTGCATGTCCACCTTCCTGCCAGCCCTCGGAATGTCACACTGAGCTCCTGGCTCACAGGGTCCATGCCAGGCTGTGAGCTCTCAGAGGACAGGGTGGTACCTGACGCAAGGGCTGCTCAAGAGGTACTTGCAGGACAGACAGTTGGAAGGACAGACTAGGACAAGCGAAGGTGGGAGATCCAAAAGACTGAAGGCATCTTCCTGTCCTCTACCATCTGGGTCACTGCAAGCTGACAGCCTGGGGGACCCTGCTGCCCAAGGACTCTTCAGAAGGCCTCAGAGGGGCCCTACAGCTCACTAGGTCCCTGCCACCTTTTCAAGCAAGGAACCTAAGGCCAGAGGAGACACCTTGCTCAGAGTCCCACAGCAAGCCCGGGAGCCCGCTGGGAGCAGGCCCAGCCTCCCAGCTGGCAGCTGCACGCATTTCCACACCACCCTGCAGCCCTTCAGGGGCTAGTATGAGACTGTGCTCCAGATGGTGCTTCTGGAACCCCAGGGGACGGTACAGAGTAGGGTTTTGCTTCATTTAGAAGGAAGAGCCTTCCAACTGGAGATTGTCTTTCGGAGACGTCACAAGTGTTCAGGCAGAGTCCCGCCTGGAGGGAGGGAACAGGAACCCGCTCTGTGGCTGGGGGGCAGGGGTCTGGAAGGCCCACTGCAGGAGGAGTGTGTCCAGAGTGGGGGTCACACTGTAGGGACCTCACAGGAGGCTCCGGCGGGGGAGGAGCTGGAAGTGCCAGCTCGGCTAGAGGCCTCCTTCCCTCTCACTGGGCAGCCGGCCAACGCAGCCACTGCAGAGCGGCTCTCACCCTGCACTTCCAGCGGGGGCCTGGCACAGAGAAGCGCCCCTCATTTGCCAAACGGAAAAGCGCACAGGCTGGGGAGGCAGCGGGCAGGGCTGTCCTCTAGCGCGTCTCAGTATCTCCGGAAAGGGGTTCGGAGGCTCAGTTCAGACTGGGAAGCACTAGGTTAGCCAAAGGGAAACCCGTTTCTCACATGCAGGAATTGCCAGCATCTGCCAGGGAGGAGGAATGGCGGGCAGCCTTCCCCAGCCTGTCCCTCTCCTGCAGAGCAGCATGCAGGGCTGGCTCCACACCACGCGGGCACTCCCCAGACTAAGTCCCCTTGCTCGGCTCTGCACTGCCTGGCTCTCTCAGCTGCGTGGCTGCTAAACCACCCCCTCGGGCCTGGACCCCAGCCTCCCAGTTAAGAGAAAACAGTGATGACACCAGCGGGGCAGTGCTGCAGCAGCGCGTGGCAGGGGCCCGGTGCAGTGGCCTGGGGCCTTTCCAGAAACAAGCTGCATGGGGCCCTGCCTCCTGGGAGCAGCCCCTGGGAAGGGAGAAGCCAAGGCACAGCCCTTCGGAGGTTCTGCACCGCAGTTGTGTTCTGAGGGCTGAGTACAGCAGGAGGAAGTTGTGAGCAGCCAGGGGCCTCCCCCTCAGTGTCTGCAGCTGCTGGGGCTCCCCGCAGGCCCCAGCGGCCACTCACTTCCAGCTAGGCCAGCTCTGGGCCCGCCACAGCCCTGGGCTCTCTCTGGTGACTCAGCATTGGCCACAGGCCCCCAGGCAGGGCCTCTTCCGGTGCAGGGTGCAGAGTGGTGGGGAGAACCACGGCCTGATCTCCACAGACGCAGAGAGGTCTGCAGGGTGGCCCCAGGACCGCCTACTCCTGGACCCCTCCTGTCTCCCTCCATCTCAGAAGGGCCACGAAAGCAGCCGGTCCAGGAAAAAGGACGTTTTATTTCCATAAATACTCCTGCTCTCACACACACAGTGACCCCACTTCTGCCCTCGGAAAGATGGATGGACAGAGGTGAGACACGCACAGGAGGCCCCAGCACAGGCCAACGAATGAAGGAGACACCCCGAGAACTCCAGTGCAAGACCTCCCTTGGCCAGAAGCCCCAGGAGCCCTAGCTAGGGCCACTCACCTCGGGCATTCCCCTTGGCCACTCGTCACACAGCCCACAGCCCCTCAGGAGGCCTGAGAACAAAGGGGTGAGGCGAGTGGAAGGAGACCCCCAGGAGGAGTGGGGCACAGGTGGGGCTCCCCTAACTGGGCCCCCCCGAGAGGGTGACCACAGGGCCACTCAGAAAGAAAAGCAGAGAGTCAAACCACACACCAGAGAGTGCAAACAGCTGGGGGTGCAGGCATCACCCCACAGTCACCCGGTTCCTATGGAGGAGGCCTGAGCTGGTCCCCGGTTCCAGCATGACCCCCGAGGTATGGCTGGGCCTTCCCATAAGGCATAAGAGACAGGCGGGGATGACCCCACCCCAGGCTGGGCTCGGGGCTGGGCTGAGGTCCTGGCCCTTGCCCAACAGCCATGCTTCTTCCCCATGACCCCAAGTCCTTCCAGGGCCCTGCAGCCCTCCCCTGCTCCAGGATCCCCCGTGGTGAAGGTCCCCAGCAGTGCAAACCCAGGCCCAGCCTCCTGCTGGGTTTGGCTTAGCAGGGGAGAGGGCAAGGGGAACGAGGGGGCCACAGGGGTGAGGGGAGAAGCACCAGGCCCAGGGGCTATGGCCATGGGAACAAAGGGTGTCCTTGGCCACACAGCCTCCCACCCAGGCTAGATGGGCCAATGTCGCTGCCCCTCCTCTCCCCAGCCCCTCTCTGTTCTAAAGGCTCCCCCAGGTCTCGGGTGGGGGGAACTGGTCCACGTCCCCCATCTCGTTGTAGGTCTGGTCGCCCATGGTGAAGAGCAGCTTGTAGCGGAGGCGAACCTTCTCCTGGGGCAGAGACAGTGAAGGCAGAAGGGTCAGGGGGGGAAGAGGCTGCCCCCACCCCATGGCGGCCCCCTATCACACCTGGGCCCCTCACCTTCTGGGGGTTGGCAAGGAGCAGGACCTGGGTGATAGCTGAGGGGTGGACGATGGGGTTAAAGGCCGGCAGCTCCGTGCCCGAGGGCGGCTGCAGCTTCACCTTCATGACCTGCGGACAGGAGGGCGGGACAGGGCACAGCTAGCCTCGGCTTCTCATTCCCGTCCCTGAGGAACCAGGCCCAGCCTACCTGCCACTTCCTCCCCTGGTGTCCTGGGGCTCTGTCCTTTGGTTCCCTTCTACCCCCCGGCTCCCCAAGGAGAGAGAGAGGACAGCTGCCTCCCATCCAACCCAGGTCACCCTGCCTTGAGAGGAGAGAGCATGCCCGTGTCACCTTGGGGACAGCTGACTGGAAAACGATGTTGCGTATGGGCTGGGGGGCGGTGCTCAGCATGGAAACCACCACCACCAGCACGTCAGAGCGCCCAGGCAGCGGGTCTCGCGCGAAGTGGAAGAGGACCCGGAAGCCATGCTGGTCATACACGGTCACTGGCAACATGCTGCCTGGCAGGGGAGAAAGGGAGAAGGTGACGGGGAGCCAGCCCTGAGCCCAAGCACATCAACCAATGCCCCCACCCAGCTGCCATCAGGCACCCACTGCTCCACTGGGAGTGAAGCCACAAACCCACAATCTGAGGCCCTTGCCTCCACCCTGGACGGCAGTGCAGTCAAGGGCGCCCGCTGATGCCCAGATGGGGCGGGTGAACTTCTAGTGATGGTGGATGCAAGACACCCACCCCGGGACAGAGCCATAGCCAGGGGTCCCCCAGTGCCGTGCGGCTGCTTCCTGGCGCGCTGGAGTGAAGGACTGTGGGTGAGCTGGGTCACACTGTCACTGTGACTCTGGGACAGTCATTCCACTTCTCTAAGCTCAGAGTCCTCCCTACTGATAAGATAGGAACACCACCACCCACTTCCTGGGGACAGCGAGGGTGTGACAAGCTCGGTGACAGTGAGCTCACAAGATGGACAAGGCTGAGAAGACCAGCCAGTGCTCATCCACCTGCTCAGAGCCTGGTGCAGCGAGTGGCCCCCTAGTGCTCCTGGGCAGCAGAGGCCCAGGCCTGGCCCTGGCTCTTCATCCTGCTTCGGTTTCACAATCTGGGGGAGGCCCAAACCTCTCTGTCCAGGCCCTGCCTCAACATCCATAAGCAGTCCTCCTGCCTGTGTAACCCTGGAGCTTATGGAGCAGCTGTGTGACCACTCTGGGACAGATGAGGGAAACTGAGTCCTAGGAAGAGGAAAGTCTTGCCCAGAGCTCCCCAGTAAGTCAGGCAGGGCTGGGAGAAGACCGCGCTCTCCCACCTGCTCCCCCACACAGCGCTCCCAGCCGTGCCCGCCCACAACCTGCCCTACTCACTGGGTTTGATGGACTCCAGGGGCACAGTGATGTTGGCCAGCGAGAGCTCAGTGGGCGTGGGCTGCCGCGGAGGCCCGGGGGGCTCAGGGGACACGGTGTGGAGGCTGGCGGCACTGGGGCTGGGCGCGCTGCAGCTGCCTTTATTCTGCAGGTCCCGGAGCGTGAGCCGGGGGGCTGGCTGCTGCTTCTCCCTTAGTGAGGGACAGTGCACTGAGAGGTGAATCTTCGGTGGCCAAGAGATCAGGGGCGCGGGAAAGGCTGGGCTTCCTGGCTCACCCTCACGGCTGGCTCAGCCAGCTCCCTGTCTCTTTGGACTTGGTCTCCTCACCTTGGGACATGCAGCTCTTGCTCTCCCTCCCCCGCCAACCCCCACCCCGTCCACTGGGGCTCAGTGTCCTCCTCACTGCTGGCCCTCTGGGCCTTCAGTCTTTCCAGGTGCCAGGAAGGCCCGGGGGAGGGAGTGTGAGCACGGCATAGGTCCCCTTCTCTCATAAAGCCCATGCTCTGTGGGGCGGGCCCTGTGCCTGCCTCAGCCACTGCTGCAGCCCTTGAGACTGGTGCAGTGCCTGGCACATGGTGGGGCTCCGGGAGCCACTGCTCACAGGAACCAGCCAGCAATGGGCCTCTCTCTGCTAGGCCTGGGAAAGGGTCTGGGCCAGAGAAAGCCCAGGAGAAGCTGCTGGCTGTGGACAGAGGGAGGGCTCCCACCCCATACCAACCAGAGTGTGCCCTCACCACCGCACTTGCTGGGACTCCGGGGGCAGTGACTGCTGCAGGAGGGTCTTCCCCAGGAGGTCCAGGTCATCCAGACCACTGCTTGATGGCAAGGACGTCTGTGTTGGGGGCCGACTATCGGTGCTGGGGGCCGGAGTGGGGGCTGGGGGCTCAGAGCCGTCAGACGACTGTTGGATGGGCATACAAAGAACGCAGGTGACGGGGTGTGCCGAAAGGTGTCAGCGTCACCTGGCGCCACCCTGAGGCCCCCTCCCTTCCCTCCAGGTGACATGTGGGGAAGCGGCAGCACAGACGGGGACAACATTCTTGCTGGGCCCGGGCCCCTCTCACTCCAAGGCCATCAGGGACGGGGCCTGGTGTGGGGCTCCCCTCCAGAAACCGTCACATTCCAGGGACCTCAAAGTTGCCTCCAGAGAAAAGGCAGAGGGAATCCCCATCCCCAGCCCCGAGGCTGGGCTCGCAGAGAGATGCGCCTGGAGCAGGAGAGGACTGCCCTACTCCTCCGCCTGGGATGATGCCTCAGCCGTGCAGCCCCGACCCAGGGCCCTCCTGCCCCTCAGGCTGTTGTCCCAGCTGCTCTGCCCCCTGGACAGGTCAGGCTAGTTCCTAGCCCCTCCTACCTGGAAGCTGTTCCATCCAGCACCATCCAAGCTTGGGCCTGAAGGGGGTGTGGGGTCACTCAGGCCTGCGGGGAAGCAAGACAGAGGTAAACGAGCTGGATTCCTGGGGCCGGCCAGCTGTGCAGTGGTTAAGTTCACACGTTCCACTTTGGTGGCCCAGGGTTCGCCAGTTTGGATCCCGGGTGTGGACCTACGCACCGCTCCTCAAGCCATGTTGTGGCAGGTGTCCCAAAAATGAAGTAGGGGAAGATGGGCACAGATGTTAGCTCAGGGCCGATCTTCCTCAGCAAAAAAGAGGAGGATTGGCAGTGAACGTTAGCTCAGGGGCTAATCTTCCTCAAAAACACACACACACACAAGGAGCTGGATTCCTGAGCAGAGGCAAGAGAACCGCGGGACAGTGTGCTGGCTGGGGTTCCCTGGCTCCCACCGTGCCCCCTGCATCCCCTCCTCCAAGAGGTTCAGCTCAAAGGGCAAAAACTCCCACTTTCAGAGGGAACCAGCAGCAGAGCAGAAGTAGAAACCAAAGATCCTGACAACCCATTCTCCAGGCCCACACGTGCTTCCTCTATGGCCGCTCAGAAGCCAACTCAAATACAGATGTCAGGACTTTCGTCTCTATTCATCAGCTGATGGCTGGGAGCTGGCATGGAGGTTGGGGGGGCGAGGTGGGAAGAGTGGCTGACACCAAGTGAGGTTCCTGCCCTCCCGATCCAGGCAGCAGGGGTCAGCACCCTGTGCTGACCCACCAACTCAAGGGACGCCCTCTGAATGTCAGAAGAGCGCTGCGGAGCGGTGAACAGGGCCCTGGGCCCAGGCCTGCCCTAGAGTCTGAGCAACCATGGGCCAGGTGCCAGCTGGGCCGCACTGTCCCCATGGGCACAAGGGCAGGGTTGCCTTGGGCCGACCCTGAAGGTCCTGTCCACGCTGGCACATGCCAACAGGCTGCCTGGTGCAAAGGAGAGCAGTGGGCCCCCTGGATGGCCCTGCTCATTGGCCTGCTTGACCGGAAGGCAGGAGGTCACCCACAGGTCTGACCTCTGCCACCCTGAAGCATGCTCTAGCCAAGTTCACCCAAGGTTGTACCTGGAGAAGACAAGTTCTGCTTCTGGCAAGTCCTGGATAAGTGAGGTCCAGTCTGAAGTGCCATCTGGCAGGGGAAGCGGGCACTCCTGGGACTCCTCCACTGGCCACCCCTCTCACAACACAGTGGGAATGGCGACCCTTTCTTATGCCCCTGGAAGCATCAGGCACTTCAGACATAGGCCTCACTTAATCCTCAGACAACCTGAAAAGGCAGGTGTGCGGTCCTCATCCCCTCTTACAGATAAGGAAATGGACACTCAGAGGGGTAAGTAACCTGCCCAAGGTCACACAGCAAGAAAGGAGCAGAGTCCGGACTTGGACAGAGCATGGCCTAATTACTGGAGTTTGAACACAGCTCTGCCACTTAGCTGTGTGACCCAAGACTGGTGACAACCTCCCTGTGCCTTGTCTGTAAAATAGAGACAACGGCAGCATCTACACCAGAGGCTTATTGTGAGTGATAAACCAGACAAATCGGATGCAGTGCCTGCACAGTGCCAGAGCACCCTCTTGGACAGACAGGAAGCCCACACTGCCTGCCCGCCCCCAGCCCTCACCCTTCCTGCCACAGAGACCTGCTGGGACAAGCCCCCTTTGGGGCCCCAAGGCTTCCTGCACCCCCCAGAGCGGGGCGGGCGCTGCCCTGGCACTTTGGGTTCCTGTTCCCACATATTCTTTGCCTGTGAGAAGAAACCAGAGGAAGTTGGAGGCTCAGCGCTGCCGAAGTGACTCGGGGACAGGAAGTGCAAAGCACATCTCGCTTCTCACGAGGAGGCGGCCCAGCCACAGCCACTCGCTGGGGGACTGGGCTGTGCACACCGACTGCCCCGTTGGGTAGCTGCCGCCCGGCCCTGGCTCTGCGGGAAGATGGGCCTGTGCGCTTTGTCGCTGATCAGCCTTATCTCCCTGTAAAACGGGCACAGGGCCTCTCTCTGAGTCCCTGGGGCTCTGACTGAAAGGGGAGCAGGTGGGGAGACTCGTAGGCAGGCCCACAGACACCCCGTGGCCGGACCCCCTAGAGAGGGCGCTGGCTGACATGACTACAGAAAGGAGCCCGACCTGGGCCGGTGCCCCCTCGTCTCCCGCTCCGAGTCCTCACTTCCCTCTCCCGGCTGAGAAGCTGAGTCAGAGCAGCAGAGGCCCAGAGGGAGGCTCCGGACTCTGAGCACCTCATCCAAACCTGGTGCCTCCTTTGGGCAAGTCCTCGCCTTTCTAGGCCTTGCTTGCACGTCTGTAAAGTGAGGATGTTGAGAGCCCACACCTCAGGTGGTGGGTGGGGGTGTCTGAGGTCACACCGCATGGCAGCACCGGGTAGGGAGCAGGCCTCCCTCATGGGGCCGGGGCCCAGCCAGCCACGGCTTCTTTGGGCTGGCAGGTTTGGGTCTCATCTTGGCACTGGCTCAGGAAGCCAGCTGACTCCTGGCTTCCGAGTTAGTTTCCCAACGTTCCCTTCAAGTTCCTCTGATGGAGCCCCACACGGCTGTCTCTTTACAGCCTCTGGGCTGCTGTGAGGAGGATGCTATCAGGCTCTCCTGCTTCTAAGCTCATCTTTGGGGCTGCTGCACCCGAACAGGGAAACCCGAACACTGCCTGGCCGGCTGGGCACCCTCTGCTTCTTCCCCAGGGCTGAGCCTGGTTCCCTGCCAGGCTCGGGAGCCCTGATCCTGCCCTTGGGGACTGCAGGCCCCGCCCAGGGCCAGCTTGGGATGTGGCGAGCCTTGTTTCTGGTGCCAGCTTCCCTGGAGCTCGTGGTGCTGCGGGGCCCCAGTCCTCCCTCTTCCCCTCAGAGGGTGGGGAAATGCTCAACTTTTGCCTGGCTAGCTCCCAATTCTGGGCTCTAACCTGCCACAGGGAAATCCTTCCATTTTCCTTCCAGCCACTGGAGCCTAGGTGTGGCTGGCTTATCAGAAGCTGGTCAGCCTCACCCTTTGACTGTATGACTTTGCACAAGCTCCTTAATCTCCCCGAGCCTCAGCTTCCTCAGCTGTGAAATGGGCCTACTGCCCAAGCTCCCCCCCCGCCCCCCCCAGGACTTGCAGGAATACCACGCTGACCAGACCGTGCTCTGCAAGCTGCGCCGTGTGCTGCGAGCACCGCCCCCACCTGCAGCCAAGCCCACCCTCTTCCGGGCCTGGCCCTGTCCTCACCCAGAGACATGAGCTCATCATCAAGCAGGGAGACCGAGGTGCTGGGCTGCTCGGGGCTGGCCTGGTCACCAGGGCGGGGGGGCATGGCTGGGTAGGTGGTGCCCACAGGAGGGAGATCCAGGCCTGAGAGGTCCAAAAGGGCCGAGGTGCTCCCTGGGATGGGAAAGGAGAGTCAGGCAAGTCCTGGGTGGAGGCCGCGCAGGCTCTCGGAGTCCATGGGGGCTGGGGGCAGCACCCTGTCCCTGCCCTTCACAACCCTCCTGCTTCCCCCTCCTTGGCTGCGCTGCCCTGCCCCCGGACCCTGCGCACCAGACCCTCTCCTTAGCACAGCGCTCCTTCAGTCTGGGCTGTATCGCCTTCTTCTCTCTACTTGGCGAGCTGCCTCCCATCCTTTAAGGCCCAGCTTAAAGTCTGCCGCTTCTGTGTCATGCCCTCCCCACCACTCCGAACAGGGCCGACTCTACCCTCTTCTGTGGTCCCCCAGGGCTGTCATTTTACCTCTGGTGGAGCCGAGCTTGTAATGTTCATGTGTCAAACTCTCCCTCCTGTCTTCCGATAATTAAGCTAAGCCTTGGGGATGTCATCTAGCCCCACACAACAGGTGCCAGATTTGTCAAACGAAAGAAAGACCTTCCTTCTTCTCCTTGTCCTCGCCAAACCCTCGGCTCCCTCCCCTCTCTGTCCCACATCCAGACTTCCTCCCCCCACAGCTGCAGGCTTGGCACAGACTTTGTCCCCAGCTCTCTCCCTGGGGCCCTTCCCCATCTTAAGGGGCCAGGGTCACCCTGGCAGTCCCAGCTCCAGCCTGGCAGGCCCCTCCCCAGCTCCCCAGCACCTCCTCACCAGGGATGGAGCCCGCCGCGGCATCACCGTTGACCTCCTCGCCCCGCACCAGCTGCTTGTACAGGGTGATCACCTGGGTGAGGTTGTCGTTGGCCTGTAGGATCTCCGCTGGAATGGACAGGAGGGGAGAGGCCACGAGGAATGAGGGGACCTTGTGGCAGGGCACAGAAACCCGCATTGACCCCAGCCCTCGTGTGAGGGGGTGGGGCTGGCAGCGTCCCATCTCGTCTACTCAGACCCAAGCCCTCCGCTACCTGCTCCCACCACTGTCCCGTGCCAGCCCCCGGACACAGGGGCGTGCTCCCACCTCCAGGCCTCCACGCCGGCCCTGCTGTCTGGCTACCCCAGATCTCTGCATGGCTTCATCCCTACCTGCCTTCAGGTCTTTACCCAAAAGTCACCTCAGGAGCCTTCCCTAACTCCCACCCTGCAATACCCAGTCCCCTCCCTGCTGGTTTTCCTTCATGCCACTTAGCACCACCTGACAAACCGCCACGGCTCACATCCTTGCCTTACTGTCTCCTCTCATGGGACTACAAGCTCCAAGAGGATGTGCTCTGTCGAATTTGATCGCTGCCATATCCCCGAGGGCCTAGAGTAGCGCCTGGCACAAACTAGGCCGTCATCAGCAGGACCTCCTCAGGGGCCAGGGCCTGGAGGGACCTGGGCAGTGAGCCTTTTGGGTGGGGACCAGGCACACGAGAGGCCCTTAGTAAACCGCTGAAGGAGGGGCTGAGATGGTACTCAGACCGCTGCCCAAGAGGCCCTGGCTGACACGGTGGCAGAGACGAGAACCTGACACGTGGCCCTGGCAGAGGCCACAGGGCCAGCTCTGGCACGGCTCAGGCTTATGGGGTTTGCTCTCAGTTTCTAGCTCACCCTTATTACGGAGGCAGTGTCTGGAGAGAGAGAGCCCCTGGTCCACCCCAGCTCTGCCACAGTCCCACTCCATGATCTGGGCAAGTGACTTTCCTTTGAGCCCCAGCTATGCAATGGGGACAATTCTCCCTCCTGTGCAGCCCGTGGGCAGTAAATGAGGTGCCTGCGAAGGGGCTTGGCCGTAGGGTCTCTCAACCACATCAGCCCCTGCTCACTGCTCCCTCCTCCTTCCAGAGACACTCAAGGTCAGCGCTGGAGAAGGGGGCCCCCTGGTGGTGGCTCCTTCCAACTGCGGATACTTAGCAGGGCCTGGGAGAGGCGGGGAGGGCGGCGGGATAGGGCAGACTCTGCCCAGGGCTCACCTAAGGCCTCATCATTGTCCTCTGTGTCACTGGCCAGTCGGAATAGCGTGGGCCGCATCCGCTCACAGCGCTGGTACAGTTCCTGGGGGCAGTGGGATGGGCAGGTTAGGGCCGGCAGGGGCCCTGGAGCGGGCAGGGACTGGGCAGAGGTGGGCGCACCTTCATGAGGTCCTCGCTGCTGCGGGCCGCCGCACCCCCCTGGCTGTGGCTCATCACCATCTCCGTCAGCAGCTTCACATTGTTGTTCACCTCCTCGATGGCGCTCACTCGCTTCGAGATCTTCTCCATTCGTTTCTGGTCCTAGGGAGGCATCAGTCAACGGCCCCCGAGAGCCCGGGTCAGGCCTGGCCTACACCACTCTGGAGAGTTTGCTGGCTGGGTATGAGATGGGACCGGGCGGCCGCGGGGAGCTCACTGCACCCTGCTAAGGACCCCTCATGCTCAGAACAGGGCACTCTGGTCTAAGAAGCCCTTGGCCAACCCTGGGCTCACTTCCTTTCCTCCTGCCATTGCCCCCTGAACCCAGGCCTCTGCATGAGCCCATCAGAATCTCCAGGGATGGCCCAGGAATCTGGTTTCCAACACACTCGCCAAGTGATCCCAGAGGACCAGGGCCTTCGCCTGTGGTCCTAACACGACGCTCGCCCTCCTTGTGTTTGTCCCTTGAAAGGAAGTTCCTGTACTTGAGAATGAAAGGGACCTTAGTGGTCACCAAGTACAAGCTAGAAACTAGTGCAGTGACCCCTCCCAAGTCTGTCACTGTGTGGCAAACGGTGGGGAGCTCATGGCCTTAAAAGGCCACTGCAGGAAGTGACCCCACTATCCCTGGCCCACTCTGCTTACTACGCATGTTCTTCCCTCGCAGAATGAAATGTGGGCTTGTACTGCGCCATCCGATACAATCGCCCTCCTTGAGAGGGGCCACCCCTGGCTTTCTCTTGGCTGTCAGGGCAGGCAGATCTTCTGCCCTCGGGGTCTCTGGACTGCAAACCTTTTTGATGACTTACCCTTATCAATAAAAAAGTTTCAGCACGCACCCACGTTACTTACTTACAAGCTACACATTATTTCCTTTTCAAAAATATAAATACACATACATGTGCATACACATATATATAATACTTTAAACATAGTAAGGTCTAATTTATTCCTAACTTTCATGGAACAGGAAGTCAGCCTTGCAGAAGCCCACCCAGGGCAGGTCGGCTGCTGGAAAACTCTTCCCTCCACACACTGGCCCTGGCTCTGCCCACTGGGGCCCCCAGAGTCAGTCGGCTCCTCCTTTGCTGTGACGGACCTTTAACTGGGTCACTGCAGGGCTCCTCATACACACACACACACACACACAACCACATCACGTCAGTGGCCCCGCTCAGCACCCCCATCCCACCTCCCCCCTGTGCTCTGGGCTTGGCCATCACCTCCTGCACCATCTCCTTGATGAGTTTGTTGGCCGCCCGGAGGTCCTCAGGGTGGGAGCTCTTCAGCAGGCGGGCTAGCATCTGCAGGGACAGAGGAGCATGACTGTGACAGCAGTACCTGGGCTGGGGTCACGTTCTGGCTCCCCACTTCCCGGCTGTGGGATATGAGTTAAGTTACTTAAACGCTCTGTGAAATGGCAAGAATCTGCTGACACTTGACAGGGTGGCTGTGCGACAGCTGAGACGCTGCACAGAAGTGCTCCCACAGCGCCCAGCATAAGTCGGTTCTCAACAAACGGTGCAACACATCTATCACTACGGCCAGACAACCCTCCTGCAAGGACGTCCAAGGAACCTCACAGCGGTTACCCTCCGGGGCCGCACTGGGGAGAGGGGAGCCTTACTTTCCATCTGACCTCCTCTGGGCTGTTTAATTTCTTGCCCATGAGCACATCCTTCTTTAACAAAAAGCTAATAAAATTATGGTTGAAAGAATCAAAGACACAAAGATACAAAGTCCTGATCAACCCCTGAAATGCCCTCAAACCAACCCCAGGACCACTCCTGCATTTGTTAAATGCACGAGCACCGTATGGGAAGTATTCAGGATGCAGTCAGTGCTCGATAACCCTTGTCTGTCACCTACTCCAGTGGCCGTGCTGGCACGAGCCTCTGCTCCAAGAGCAGGCAGCCAGGCGCTGGAATGCACTGACCCCCAGTGGGCCCTGGAGGCCTCCCCTGTCCCTCCTGCAGCCTCACCTTGGACTTCTCCTCGTCTTCAAAGATCACATTCTTGGGCCGCGGAGGAGGAAGGGGAAAGGTGGCGTCATCTGGAAGCTTGGGGTCGGACTTCACAATCCCTGGGGTAGACCGGTGTGGGCAGGCTGTCAGCAGGGCCCAGGGGCAGGTGTGGGAGGGGGACGAGGGATCGGGGGAGGCGAGGGTAGGATGGAGGGTGGGACAGTCTTTCTCCAGCACACTGGCTCTGGACTTCGGTGGCCAGTGCCTGCTCCGACCTACCACGTCAAATTGCGTGGGGAGAGCCTGAGCACCCGTATTTTGAGGCTTCTCTATGGCGGCCAGTGCCTGAGGGGAAGCTTAACCTGCACTCACCTTCTCTCCACCAAGCTACCCTCAGGCAGAGCCACAAAAAGGCCCTCCTGGCCATACGTTCCTGAGACGTTAAAGGGCAGACCCACGACCTTGCTGCCGGAAGCCCCTGTAACCGCTGGAGCCCCCGCTCGGAGAGGAGGGAGGTGGCCGCGGGTGACACCCCACGCTGGTGCCTCACCCTGCTTCTTGAGCATCTGGTAGGCCTCTGCGATCTTCACCTCCTCGGGCAGGCCGACCGTCCAGCTGTAGAGGAGCTCCAAGATCTTGCTCTTCACCTTCTCCGACGTCCGAGAGCCCAGGTACTTCAGGGACCGAGGGGAGAGGAGGCCTTCGACAATGCCCAGCCCCGCTCAGTGCAGCCCCAACTCCAACCCAAACCTGGCTGCCTCCCCAGGACGCCCTCAGAAACCCTCTGGCCCACAGGGCCCTCACATCCCACCCAACCAGCCTGGCACAGACGGAGCTCACCTCCTAGCTCTGCCGCTCACTGGCTGTGCCAGCCCTGTGTCTCAGTTTCCCCACCTGTTAAGTGGGGGTGATAGCAGTGGCACCGTGGTGAGGATGCAGAGCTGACATGGGTAAGGCACAGAGCCCGGGGCCCACTCACGGCCAGCTCATCTAAGGCTAAACTCCGTGACTTGAGGAAGGAGGAGCCACCAGGCTCCAGGCTGACGAGGGAAGGGGCAGGTGTGGAACTGCTTGGGCCCAGGCCTTACTCACAGCCTCCCAGCAGCAACCTAGGCCGAGGGAACTGGCTCTCACACCAGTCACCCCCTGGGAGGAAAAGGGGGGCCAGCTGGGTCATCCAGCTGCTTTGGTCGAGGGATGGGTCTGAGTGAGGAAGGGTGACATGTCCATGTCCTACAGGAGAACTTAGAACTCCTTGAGCCAAGATGGGAGTGTTGCCCATCTGCACCCAGCAGGATCTGTCACTTAGGTTTGGGACCTCAGCATCCAAGGCCTCAAGGAGGCCACTCTTGTACAGTGGGGACAAGGAGATCCTCCACTAGAGATCCAGGTGGGTACGCAGAGAGAGGTCTGAGAGCCAAAGCCACCCGTGCTGGGACAGCTGTTGAGCAGCTGGATGCAAGCCCTGTGATCGTTCCTCCCTAAGTACCGAGGCGGGCCACAGCCGGCCTGCCACCGGTCAGCCTGGAAGCGCTTCTCCTAGAAACCCAGCTGTCCTAGACCCAGCTATGTGAAGGGGACAGTGAGGAAGGGTTTGTGTTCCTGCCGGGTCAGAGTTCTGGGGCTGAGGCAGCAGTAGAAGTGGGAGCCCCAGGATGAGGGGCCGTCAGTCACCCCCACCTGCCAGTGCAGGTCTGAGCTCAGGCCAGGAGCACCCACCTTGGGAGACACGACCTTGATGAGTTCGTTGAGAAAGCGGAACTTGCCCACCTCGTCGTGAAACCTCTTGCCACAGCTCTTCATGCATGTTTCCAGCACCTGGGGGGGTGGTGAGGGGGTGCAGGGACCCCCCAGGGAGGATGAGAGGAGGCAGCCTCCGCCCCCACCTCAGCCAGGGTCCAGGAACCCAGGGACAGGCATTTAGAAGGGAGGGAATGACTCGTGAGGACAAACGACTCCGGTTCAGAGGCCCCAGAGACTGCTCAGGCCCCGCGGGCGGGCTGACTTCTGGCGCCTGCCGCACCCAACCAGCAGCAGCACCGCAGCCCCTCCACGGCTGGGCCTCGGCTGAGGACCACCTGTAAATTATTTTCTTACTGTGTCCCTTTGATTGTTTTTTTAAACTTAAATAGGTACCATCTACCTTGGCCTTACCCTAACGTACCCATCTGTGAAATCATATGACTAGCACGTATCTGACCAAAAAAAGCAGGTTGAAATAAATACCTAACTATTAAAAGGAAATCCACCACTCCCTACAATCAGTTTTGCTACATGGTCAGTTGTGACGTGGCCCATGCTTGGGGGTCACAGACAGTGTACCCCGCTACTCTTCTGCAATTGGCACAGCTTCAAACCTCTCACCCAAGCCTAGGCGTCACCCCTCATACCCCTGCGGAAGGACAATGCTGTCCTGTGTCTAGAGACACTGATGGGTTGGGTTGGCTCCATAATGTACCTGGAGAGCTTTATAAACATGCAGATACTGCAGGAGCTCTGATCTAGCAGGTCTGGGGTGGAGCCCTCATATGTTTAAGCAGCCTCCTACAGAGCTGATGCACAGCCGGAGCAGGGGACCCTGGACCAGACGATCTGAGGGGCCTCACTGTGCAGAGGCCTCACTGTGCAGAGTCTGGAGGGGAGGCCGGCCCACTGGTTGCCATGGAACCCTTGGGGGCTGGTCCAGCCATTCTAGGCCATAGTGGCATAACCCCGTTGGGCTCTAAAGAAGAGCCTGATGGCACCCAAAGCCTCAGTCCTAGCCTCCCCCAGTGCCATCCACATGGCTGGGGGATGGCTGGCACCCTCTCTCCCCTTCTCCTCACCGTCAGAGCCTGGACTGCCTCCCACTCCTGCGGGGACTGGATCTTGTGGGCCAACAGCCGGGTGGCAAGTGGAGGCCTGGGGGAGAGGAAGAGCACAGAGCCAGAGTAGCCAGAGCCCCAGGCACCAAGGAGAGGGCCACACCATCCTCCTGGAGCTGCAGCTCTCAGAGGCTTCTGCAGGGCATATGCAAACGCCCAGCTCCCTCACTGGATCGGAGGGGCAGAGCTGGTGGCATGACAGGGCGGGGCCAGGCAGGGAGTGCAGGCTGGGCACCTTTGAAAGGCACGAGCTCAGCCCCTTGGCTGGCTTTACTGAGAACTACGACCTGCCACGTCCTTGGCTCGCCATAGAGGCAAGTACAGAGATGACCACAGCCTTCCAGGGCCCAGTCTGGGAGCAGAACACGACAACGTATCACAAGAGATGGGCAGACATAGCTCCCCGGCACAGGACATTCTGCTGGGGGAAATCAGAGCAGCTTCGTGGTAGAGGTGGGGACGCTGTCTACCAGATCATAAAAGACCTGTCACTGGTGACAGTAACAGCTAACGGGTACTGAGCGCTCAGGCTGTGTGAGGCGCCTCGCACGCATTTCCCTGCCTGACCTCTGTTAAGAGCCCTCCGAGGAAGGCTGCACTATCCCCCGACCTCACAGGTGAAGAACTGGAGGCTTAGAAGCAGTCACTTGCCCAAGGTGACTCAGCTAACAGGGGGCGGGACTCGCACCCAAGCAGCTGGACCCCGCGCACACGCATCACGCTCTACGCATGGCCTCCCCGAGTGGAGTGCCTGTATTCCGGGAGGTGCAGTGGGGGCAAAGCACAGTGAGCTGTGCCCCCCCAACCTTCAGCACCACCTGGGGAGCCTGCCAACAAGTCCACGCCAGGCCCCCTGCCAGTCTAGTCCTAGTCTGGGTGCAGCCCAAGTGTGCATTTTGACAAGAACTCCAGGGGATGCTAATGCAGTCAGTTCTGGTTCTTCATTGAGCAAAGGGCCTGCTGGCCTCCTCCTAGCTGGGGAGCATGCAGTTCTGCCTCTGGAACGTCCTCCCCCAAAAGGCACAGGCTGGGGCTTAGGCAGGCCTAGGCTTGACAAGCCTGGGACTACCATTTTCTCTCTGTGAGACCTTGGGGCACCTGCTGAGTCCCCTGAAGCTCAGTTTCTTCACCTGTAAAATGGGTCCAGCAAGGACCACCTGAGAGGGTGGCAAACAAGAGGCACTCAGCACAAAGTGCCCACTGCCATCATTGATTTTTGATCACACTAAGAATGGAAAGTGGGTCTCAACCCACCCCTGTCTCTGCCTGGGGCCAGGGTCTGGCGTGTGCAGGGTAGGCACACAGCGGATTCTGCTGAGCACGTGAACAAAAGAGGGAAAGGTCACCTACCCCTCAAAGTCCTCGCTGAGCTGCTCGCAGAAGCCGTTGATGCTGGCCCAGTTCAGCTCCTTGTTCAGGGGGTTTGTGGCTCTGTCTGCAGGAGAGAGGACCGGTGCGGCCTGGAGAGGGGCCCCTGCCTCTCCCCTCCCTAGCCTGGCAGCAGGGGGTAGCAAGCATTACTGAGTGCATGAAAAAGGCTGTCCCTTGGCTTCCTGTGTTGACAGCCTCAAGACCCGAGCACTGACGTTTCAGCTGAGTCGATGGACAGATGAGTTCCTGTCCACTGGCTTCCTCTCGAAGCTTCTCCACAAGGGGCCCCCCTTTCAGAGATTGTGCTCAGGGGTTGTTCCCCTCCTCCTCCCCTGTATACCTGCCCCAGTGACCACGTGCCCCTGATTCTGCTCCTGAAAACAGTGTCCCCACAATTCTCATGGAATTTATGCTCAGAGATCCAGAGATAAGGGAAAAAAGCCATAGTCCCGCCCTCAAGGAGCTGTGTAGCTGGGAAGTGGGCCAAGGGAAGCTAGGCCCTCAATACAGCATGACAGAGGAGGCAAAGGAGCCGTGGGGACACGACGAGGGGTCTCAGCTGGGCCCGAGGCCAGGGAAGGCTGTGGCAACATTCACACAGCGGGTGGAAGGAGTTAACCGGGCTGGGGATGGCATGCCCCTGAACAGCTCAAGGGCTGCGTGAGAGGAGCTGTGGATAACTGAGCGCAGGGCAGAGCGTGACCGGCCCTGGGAAGGAGTGGGGCTCAGGTATCACTTCCTCCAGAAAGCGTTCCATAACCCCTGCTCCCGCCTGCGGTGGCACTGCTGGATCAGCTCAGTCTTCTGTGCCCCCAGGCCCTGACCTTCAGCATAGGCCCAACCTGCTACAGCATGGCATCCCAGCCACTTGTGTGCACAGCCGCCTCCCCCTGGCAAATGAAGGAGTGAGGGGTCAGCAGCCGGCAGGGAGGGGTGAGGTTCTGGGAGAGTCCGAATCCAGGAACGGTCGTGGCCAGGAAAGGGCAAACAGGTCGACAGGAGAGGGTGGTAAAAAGGCCAGAGAGTCACCTCCCTGACCCCCAACCTTGGTTAAACAATCAAGTGGGTTATATGAGTTTTCCAAACCTCTGTTTTCCCATTTGTGAAGATGGAGTGAAATATGGATTGATTTTGGACGACAAAACACTTTACGCATGGTAGGCTGTGGAGGCAGCCAGAGCTGGACCACCTCCCCAGAGCCTGTCTCTAAGCCTCACCCTTTCCTGGCCAGCTCTGCCCAAGCCTGAGCACTGAGCAGGTGGTGTGGAGGGAACACAGCCCTGAAGGTGGCACAAAAGAGGATCTGTGGACAGAAGGAGGCTGGGGACCCAGCACATGGTGCCCTATGCTGTGGTGGGAGGCCTGGAGCCCTGGAGCCCTGGGATCCCAGTGCTGGCAGCCATTCAGTCAATTCCTATTTATTCAATAAATATTCAGAATGCTGGAGGCCCAGCACTGCACAACAAAAACCCTGCCCTCCTGGAGCTCACAGCCCAGCAGAACAAACAGAGACTACTCAGATAAACAACAAACACAGAATATTGTATCCTGTTGCAAAGTGCTACAAAGAAGAACAGAGCAGGGAGAAGGTACAGGGAGCCTTGGGGGTGGGGTGCTGCCCTCTGGGAGGGCTCTCTGAGGAGGTACAGCTGAGCAGAGATTTGAATGAAGTATTGGCTCTGGGGGTACTAATCTCCGTACCAGGAGCCCTGCAGAGCCATCCAGACCCTCAGAGAAATGGAGTTCCTGCTGACCACTCAGGGACACCAGGAACAGGCACTCTCACCCCCCCAGGGTCAGTGTGGCCATCTACTCTGCCTCTCAGCCTCCAACATGGCCAGAGGCTGGGCAGCACCAGTCTGGAGTCAGAAAAACAGAATGGGGGTGGACATTGCCCACTCGATGACACTCAGCTGGAGGACTGTGAAACAGGAAGTCCCTTCAAGTGTCAAAGACATGTGAGTCTGAGTGAGGACAGAGAAGCTGGTTCTAGAGACCACTCCTGAGTCAGAAGCCAATGAGGAAGCCGCAGCGGCATCATGAGACATCAGCTTTCTCTCCACATCTGGCTCATAGCGAGGGCCTCTGGGTCCAAGGAGATCTGACCAACTTCTCGGGCCCTGGCCACTAAACCCCAGCCCTCTTACCTCTACCTGGGGGGAGCACCTTCCCCAGCAGGCAGCAGGGGAGAACACCCAGGGAGGGAGGGAAGTGTTTCACAACAGGGCGTGACTCCACCCGGTCACCCCACAGAGGTGACAATGTCATCATTTACCCCACCAGAAGCTACCCTTCACCTCCAGCCACAGCAAGGGCTCACAATTTTGCTGGGACACAAAGGGGAAGACAAAGAGAAAACCACCTCAGCCTCAATCTGTTAGGTCCAGCCTGCTGCCAAACCAGGCGTTCTGACTCCTCTCTGTTTCCTAGATCAGACTCTTTGGCCTCTCAGAAAACCCCCATTGTTGTTAAACCTGACACTGTTTTGTCATCACCCAGAGCTCAAGTCCTTCGGCCTGTCATATCTCTCAGCCAGGGCCCTGCCCATCCCCCCAAGTTACTGCTAAGCCCTGGACACTTGTGGCATTCCGGAACAGTCTCGATGGCCACTGAGTGCCTCCTTTGCACCACCCCCCACCCCCCCCCCCGAACCCCGGCCTCCACTGGTCAGACTGACTCTGAAACATCCCTAGAGACGTTGTGGTTCTGGGGCCAACCTCAGGGGTCAACTCTGCTCAAGACTGGGTTAAAAGGGGCTGGTCATGACCCCAAGTCACCCTGCACAGCTCCCTGGTGTACCCAGGGCCAAGAGGCTGAGCTGAAGGCAGACCCAGAGGCCTCCCTGACGCCCTGGCACAGAAGGGAGCAAAGACTCGGGAGGGAGCTGTCACAAGCCCAGGGAGAGGCAAGCCACAGCTCTCCGGGGCAGTCCAGGAGTAGGGTTGTGAGGATCACCAGCAATGTGGGGTAGGGAGCTCAGCTGTAGGGTGTGGGGGCTCGGAAGCCTGAGTAGCAGGAAGCTGTGTCTGAGGAGACAGAGAAGGAGGTGCAGGGGCCTCTGGAGGACGCTCAGCAAGGGCTGGGAAAGGAGTCTTGGGCGGAGGTGCAGAGTCTGAGGGGCTGGGCTCAGGGCAGTGATAGAGAACTTCAAATTACTTCTAGAGTCTGACACGGGATCCTTCCAAGCCTGTAGGGTTTGGGGGGTTCTTACTGTGTGGCCAGAGCTTGGGGAATCAGCTGGGCCAGTGAGTCCTCCCTTCCTGGGCAGGGGAACAAGCAAATCTGAGTAGTTGCAGACTCAAGGAATCGACAGGAGAGAGTCACGCCATGCAGGGCCAGAGTGGAGGATTCGGGGCCCACGGGGAGTAGGGTCCCTCCCTCCTAGGTCTGAGGTGCAACCCTGGGGGCCGCTCGCTTGCTCCCTCCTAGGGGATGACTTGGGGGGTCCGCTCCTCGGGGGAAGTCTGGGCCTAATGGGGCTGAAGGCTGCTCTCTCCTCCCCGCGATGAAGCGGGTGGTCAGCGCAGCTGGCGGGGTCTTCCTCCACCCCAGGGTCTTTGGGACCGGCTCGATGCACCGCCCCTCCAGGGCCAGGGGCGGGGCGTGAGGAGGGGGCGCCCCGTACCCCGCCCCCGCGGGAAGCGGCCCGCCTCGTGCCCCCCGGTTCCGGTTCCGGTCCGGCCCGCGCCCCTCCCGGACACTCACTGATTCGCGCCTCCAGAGTCTCTGGCTCCATCGCGGGCTCCATCTACACGGGTCCCCAGCCTCGGCACCGCCCCCCGGCCCCCGCCGCTCTCGCGGGACCTCCGCGGCACCGCCCTCCGCCGATTAAAGGGGCAACGTCCGCCCCGAGGCGCGGGCACGGCGCACTCGAGCGCTCGGCACCATCGAGACGCGAACGAGCTCGCCCAGAGCGTCACCTGCTCTCCCCGCCCCTCCCCCAGCCGCGTCTACGTCGCGGGCGGGACCCGCCGCCTGTCTTCTCGTTCCCGGCGCTCAGGCGGGAGAGGAAGCGGAGGGACTAGGGGCTGAGCACGGCACCATGGAAACCCCACGGGACGCTCTAACTCGTTCTGCGTCACGGAGATACCAATGACCGCTTCCGGAGGAACGCTCGGCGGCCATGTTTCTGAGGGGCTCTGAGGTCACTTCCGGAGGCCTGGCGCGTACTTCCGCTCAGATGCGAAGGTGGGAGGGTCCTTTGAGTGGGCGGTGACGTACGTTTGTGAAGATGACGGCGCGTCAAAAGTTTGTTGACTGCTTGCAAGGGTCCAGGCGTTGTTCTAAGCCCTGTTAATACGTTAATCCATTAATCCTCCTAACAGACCCCTGAGCCAGATAACTAGTCTGCCTGAGGTCACGCGAGTGGCGGAGCCTGAACCCTGCGCCGTCTCCTGCATTCGTGCTGCAGTCATTGAATGCGCTTTGCATTTGCTTTGCGCTGACGGGCGCTGGGAGAGAAAGGCAAGGCCAGATGTTTATCACACAGTGTGATGAGGAAAGCCCACGGGGTAGCGGCAACACAGGAGGGGCCCGCTATCCAAACTGGGGCGGGGGTGGCGGATGGGGGGGGTCTTGTCGGGGGAGGTTTCCCGGAGGTGACATGTAGCTGAAAGACGGTCGGATTTCTCCAGGTAAACCTTGTACGAAAAGGTATTCCAGGTGGAGGGAACCAAACATTTCAGAGCTCACAGGGGAGAAGGAGCGCGATGAGTTCGGGGCGTTGAAAGTATTTCAGTCCGGCTCCAGGGGATGTTGGCCCGGAACTAGGCTGGGGCGAGATCACGCAGGTCCTACGTTTAGTTTTTTTTTTCTGTAAGCTATGTTGGCCGTGTCGTTAAAGAGTTTCACGGGCGGTGACAAAGTCCGGCTTTTTGTTTTAGAGACGTCCAGGCGGCGACAGTGGGCAGAGGATTCTGGTGGGGGCCAGACTGGAATCGGGGAGGGCAGAAGGAACAGATTTCTTAGCCTCGGGGCCTTTTCTCCAGTGTCTCCCTCCATCAAAGACTGTCCTCTTCGGCCTTTCGCACCCCCGGCCGGGACCGCCTGGTGATGTCACGCCCAGGGGGCCAGGTCTCGGGCTCACCTGGGTCGTTCGCAGCGTGGCGCCCTCTCCAGCCTCCCGGTCCCCGGGGGGTTAAAGCGCCACCGAGACCAGGGAATCTGGCGAATCCGGTTCTGCTCGGCCGTCCCCTTGGCGGGCGACCTCGACTCACCTTGCAGAACCGCAGTGACCTCATTTGGGAGATGAGAGGGTTGTGCTGGGTCAGTTTTTCCCCTCAACTCAACCATTCAGCAGACTGGGATGCTTTTCTAAACTCCTGGCATGCCATTAACATTATACAGGAAAGTGATGTGTATGTTTATTGCATTCTTCAATAAAAGCTGTAACGTAATTTGTACTTAAGAGCTCTTTCCATTTGTTTCGTTTATTACCGAAATGAATTATTACAGAAATAACAGGCAACCGCATTTACCGCATTGATTTATGGGTGAATCCACGCTGTCAGGAGTCACTTTTTAAAGATAGCCTAGATTTGACCTGGGTTCAAATTCTGACTTCACTGCTTTCTAAACGGTATGACCCAGGACAAGTCACTTAGCCTCCCCAGATCTCAGCTTCTCATTTGAAACGTGCTTGTCAGACTTCAATGAAAGGGTGTCTGCAAAGTGAACCCCCCAACACGTGCTTTCTACCCACTTTGTCTGCTGAACTTTTCTCCTTAGCATTTATCACCACTGTATATTTCTTTTCTACCGTGTTTTTTTGTCTCTCTCCCCCACCACATATAAGCTGCATGAAGACAAGGAATTTGTCTGTTTAGTTCGCTGGTGTATCCCCTGAGGCTTGACGGAGTAAGTGGTGCATAGTAGGTGTTCAATCAACAAGCACTGAATAAATGAATGAGTAGAAACTACTATTCATAAGCGCTGTGGATCGAGGGATGCAGGAATGTGCCCAACATTGCACAGCGAGTGTATGTGTTTTGGGGAGAGCCAGGTTGTGCCTGTCAGGAAGGCTCTAGGCTGTGCCTCAGTGAATCCTGGAGAGCCGGGCTTGGTGAGGGAGAGCCAGGAGCTGTGGTTCTGCAGATAGGGCTTGGCCCAGACGAGGGGCACAGTCAAAGGTGTGGAAGGAAGAACCTGAGGAGGGTGAAAGGAAGGAGGACCTACACAGGAGACAGCCAGTGCAGGAATTCGGCAGCTGTTCCCATCTCCGCCATTGGCAAATGTGTTGCTCTGAGTGACTTGGGGAACCCCTGCGGGGGAATGGGCAAGCAAAGCTGAGCTGTCCTTGAAGCAGCTGTAATCATCCAACCCACGCTGACCTCCAGTGGCTTCATGCCTCAGACCCTTCCAGGAAAACCCCTCCAACACTGGAAATGCTGGTGAGGATGGGGAGGGAAAAGGGAAGAGGGGATGGGAAAGAACTTGGAGGAGAGATGTGGGAGGGCACCCAGTCCTTTGTTGGGGGAATTGTAGAAGGTCCAGGGGACAACATGAGACCTGACCTCAACTCCAGCCCCTGTGACCCCTGCCTGATCCTGGCTCGCGTCTCCCTTCCAGCAGACCCCTATGGGCAGGAGCACAAAGGCCCATGGCTGTCATTGTCTCCTGTAATCCTCTCACAGACTCCGAGTTGGGTATTATTCTCTCTGTTTCATAGATGAGAATTCTGAGGCCCTGCATGAGGATGTGGTAGGCCAATGTGCCCACACAGCCTCCGTCACATCACAAGAGCCCACATAACACCAAGTGCCTGCCTTTAAAGGACAGAACACACAAAAGCAAACAAAACACACACTGAGATAATTACAAAGGTACCCAAATGGGCTGGTGTGAGGACAGTGGAGGTCATGTTTAGAGTGGATTGGGCAGGCCTCTTTGAGGAGCTGACATTTAAGTTGAGAAGGTGCCTCTTGTAGAAAAGGTGTCTAGGCAGAGAGAACAGCAAGTGCAAAGGTCCTGGGGTCAGCTAAGATGACCAGAGCGAGAATTTGAACTCGAGCTTGAGTCTCTGCACCCAAAGACCATGCTTGGTCTCAGGAACCATGATTCCAGGTGCCACAGCTGACTGAGGAGGGAGCAGGCATCAGAAAGTCGGTGAAGAGCATGAAACATATGTGTTCAATCCCTTATGTGTGTGTGCAGGGCCAGAGAGGGGTCTCATGTTTTCTGAATCACAACTAGGCCAAACAGCATAAGGACGATTATTGCCCTGATTCATGAATTTACGTAAATGCAAAGGCTCACAAAGTATTAAAATTCAGCCCCACTTCCCAGTAGATTTAATAAATTATCTTTATTGAAAAGAATGACCTTTTAGGTGGACGAAAATATAAATTCAGAGCAAACATAAATGCCTGTGTTACAGAAGATGATCTGATTGGTTGCTTGCAATTAAGCCTTTCCCAGAAGATCTGGATTGCCTGAAATAATGGGACAACAAAAGAAGGTTTGGTTCAAGGGAGACTGGGTCATTTCTTGTGTGTGGAGGGAGGAGATGGAGGCCACTAGCGAAATGAACTTGTTCATTGGGCTTTCCCAGGTCCTGGGGGGTTGGGTGGTCGGTGGGAATCTCCCCTGTGACACTTTGTTTCACCACCTTTGCTCTGATTCCATGATAAAGATGATTTGCTGTCCAGCTGCTGTGTGCCATAACTTCTATAGCATGCCTTTAAGTAGAGATTAGGTTCCCTGTTCCCTGTTTTACAGAGGAAGAAAACAGCTCCAGAGAGGTTAAAGAAAATCTTGACTGAAGCCACAAGCGAGCGGGGAGCTGGGACCGAGTTCTGCTTGATTTCCAAGGTTTCGCTGGGTCTACTCTGCTGGTTTCTTCTGAGGTGACTACCTGTGTCAAAATCCCCAGGGGGAGCTAATTAAGAATGCAGGCTCCTGGACAACCTCATATTCAGCTTGGACTCTCTAGGGTGTGGCCCAGGAAGTCCCAATCCAAAGGTAGCCTTACCCTGTGCTCAGCGTCGTCGTTGTGTGCCGCCTCCCCCGTTCCCTGAGCCCCCTGCACCTGCCTGCTTTGGTTTCTCAAGGATCTTAGATCCGAGATGGGCAGGTCTAAGGTGACAGGGACTCACCCCCAAGGTCTGCCTGCGCCATGTGGCCTATCTCTGTGGCATACTGGGACCCTACGCCTCCCTTTGTCCCACCTCTTCCTAACATCAGCTTCACCCAGCTCTGGTCCTCAGGTATACCAGGCGCGGTCACACTTTCAGGTGACTGAATTGTGTGCCAACCCGGGTAGGGGGAGGAAGAAGGAGCTGGAGAGTGGGGAGTCTGAGCGGCCCCCCTTCCTCCAGGTAGGAAGAGCTGGTTTGCAGGGGTTGTGGCCACAGATACTATGACCCTTACCCCATTGGCTGAAGGAAACCAGAGCCTCCAGGTTTCACCAATAGAAAGGCAATATGCAAATATAGCCCCTCGTTAATTGGCTGATAGACAGATGCGTACCATTCATTCATGGGCTCTGTGCTTGGAGCTTTATCGCTGCTTGGAGGTAGAGGTTACGCATGAAAGCAATTATTGAGTTCCCACCTTGTGCTGAGTCCTGTGTCCGGGGATATAGGGGTGAGGAAGAGAGGCAAGGCACCGCCCTCGTGGAACTTGCATTCTAGTAGGCTAATAAACACGCAAATGAACAATATACTTTCAAATCGGGGTAGTGCAGCGAAGACAATGCACCAGGGAGCTGTGAGGCGGCACCGTGACCAGCCCTGTGTGGGAATGTCCTAAGTGCTGCCGAGGAGGCGGGACCAGTTATCCTGGTGGTGGAGTGAGGGGTGAGAGACAGGAACTGGGGCCTTTGGTTCTATCCGCTTCTCTTTCCTTTCTCCCAAAGCTCACATCTTCAGGGCACCTGTCTTCCTCCCCCTCCCCCAGAACTCTGCACACTGGCGCTTTATCTGTCCCTGCCTCCCCTCGGGACAAGGACTCCAAGTGCAGCAGGAAAGGCCTGGAGAGGCTCCAAGAACGAACTTCCTTGTCTTTCTGCCAGAGCCGCAGCTGCTGGGAGCAGGGGGATAGGGTGCGTTTCCCACAGAGTCAGAGAATTCCGGAGCTGGAAGAAATCTTGGAGAGCATTTATCTAGTCCAGAGCTTTTCAATCTTTTTGTTTGTTTG